CCCGAGTTTTGGCCGAAAGGGTCGGGACGAGCATACCTTCGTTTCACTTACCTTGGGCAACACCGGAGTCCCACCATTTAAACCTATGTTAGATAATCGATCCTTGTCGGAGCACCTGGCCCCTCCAAGAATCGATACATTTTCATAGGTTTAAATGGAGAGAAGACAATGTTGCCAATTTGCTGGATCCGCCAATGTCGTCAATCGATTCACGATTGTATATCGAATCTGTGTCGATAGAATCACGTCGATTGGTTCCCGTTTTTGTGTCTCGATCGAATCGACACCGGATTTTTCATCATTCGTCGATCAAATCAGTGTCGATCGATTCTTGTCCCACCTATAATTTCTTTTTTTTCCGACCAATTAATGTCGATCGACACACCCTCCCGTTCAAATTGCATGTAATGCTACACGGTCTGATGATTGAATCTGTTGTTTTTTTAGCGGGGCGTTACTGCGAGTGGACGCACAAGACTATCGACCGCTCCATGCAGACGCCGACGTTCGAGGAATTCTTCGAGACGCTGCGTCTGGAGTGCGAGGAAGGCGAGCCGGCAACGCTCAACTGGACCGTCGCTCCTGAGACACCCAGCCTCGTTTACTATCAGGTAAAGCTCAACTAATGAAAAAAACACTGACAAGTGGCCCGAACTGTATGTAAGAAGGTGGAGAAATGTTGCTGGGCCCACACCATTTCGCGGGAAATCAAAGCCAAGAAATGGACCACTAGACAAGGCACGAATTTCAGTATTCTGATACATGTTTTTTCACCAAAATTTTACGTAGATTACGATGCGCACAAAGAAAATTACCGAAATCAACTCCGTGCGAAGATAATTAATGATTCTTGATGCGTGAATTTAAACCACCCGCTCATGAAAACTCAATGCTCTACGTGATTCACATCAAGCGCTAAACGTTATCATGACAGTCTCTGCTTTATAAAAATCTGACAACCTCGATTTTGACGCTTTGGCTCAGCTATAGCAAAGTGCTTATAGTTTTAACAACACACGGTGGGAAATGAACATTGCTCGATTAAGAAGCTTGCTGAAACCGTTGTTGTGCGCGATTTGACTTACTTAGAGCTTTGAGTTTCTTGTGAGCGGGCAGTTCAAATCCTCGTAATCAATATGAAATAAAAATGTTAATATCCCCGGTAGGAGTTGGTTTCAGTAATTATTGTTGCGCGAATCTTGTTATACGTGAAATTCTGGCTAAGAAACTTGAATCAGATTGCTGGAATTCGTACCTTATCTAGTGGTCCGTTTCAAAAATTAAAATTAGAGTCAAAATTAAATTTTTTGAACTCTAATGCGCACCAGTACAAAACTGAGGGGGGAGAGTGTTCAGCTCAGGCAGTTAGCATTGGAATATTAAGTTGGAGGCACGCCGAGAGATCTATACCGGTTTCGGGCTTTTTAGACCTCATCAGCAGATCACACTCGGCAGTGAACCCAACTTAACATGCCGCAAAATCCAAGACGTCCTAACCTAACCCCTCAGTTTCGTACTGGCGCATTAGAGTTCAAAAAGTTTAATTTTGACTTCAATTTTAATTTTTGGAATTTCTTGGCTTTGTTTCCCCGCGGAATGGTGTGGACCCAGCACCATTTCTCCACCTTGTTGTAAAGCTCAACTTCATATCCATTCCATGGCTCAAGTGCCAAACCACGTATTTCCCATGCGGTGTTTCAAAATCGCCGCTTCAAAACAGTCGAGCCAAAGTGCTGACCGACGTTTCCATATTTTTTCACCACAGACCATTACACTGCCTAAGGAAGAAGGCCGTATGAACATTCGAGAGTTGCCAAATTTCCTTCGATTAAATGTTTATTTTTAAAGAAAGTTATAAATATTTTTCCTTTAAATTTTCAGAATCTTTAGATGAAATTGCGAACAAAATCATCTGAAACATTGGGAGGAAAATATTCATAAGTTTATCAGAAAATTCGTGTTTTATCAAAAGAAATTTGGCTACGGCTGAAGGTTCGTACGGCGTTCTTCCTTAGCACGGCAGTAAAGTAACGTTCAGTTGTGCAATTCAACGAAAGTGTATTATTGTTTCCCTATGAGTTTTCTAATGAATGGAAATTCACACTTCATACATCGAAAAACGTTACGTTATGTGCCGGTCAGGAGTTACTTTCAATAATTTTCGTGTCCTATGTGAAATTTCGATGCAAAAACATGCGGCATACAGCTAAAATTCGATCGGATCTTCGATTCATAAGGGAATACAATAGGTATTTCTTGGCAGCAATGATTTTTCTTGCTTTGACAATAAAATTCCGCGTCTGGCTCTACGTCAATAGGCCCCGGGTTCGAATATCGGTAGTGGCGTCAAAATTTCTCGAAACTGACGAGTTGATCTGCAGAAACAGATTCTACTCGGCCTCAATCTCTGAAAATTTGAAAAGCCTGGAGTATGGATGTGCCAATCCCTCGATGTCTACGGACAATGAAATACAGTCTAAAGTTGGTTGAAGGTGCTAGACACGAAGCCATTAAACCAGTAGAAAAAAAGAAAAAAGAAAACAAGAAAATTTTAGTGCAAACAAATAAAAAAGTAAAAAATAAAAAACAAACAAGGAAGCATGCATTTTTTTCACAAACTGATTGCGGTAGGCGTACGGACTGTAAGACAGTAATGTTGTAATTTTTATTAATTTTTTTTTTATTTTTATCTTTATGGAATTTTATTTAAATATAACGTCACTACCACAAGTATTTCCTTGTATCTATCTACATGGTTAAAACTAAAATTAAGCGAATTGCATTTGTGATACTAGTGTTGCACCAAACAGCGTATCTCTTTGAGGGAATATTGTGCTCGTATGGGTTTTTCCCCCTCTGTAATGAGATTTTCAGCTTTATGCTGATTTTTAACGCACGTTGGCTGAAAAAATTCCAACATGCTGCAATTTTTACTGCAGCCAACCACTAATGGAGATGTTGCATGTGTGAGGAATTTGCGATTTGACCATTGATTCTTATGTAAAAGTTCGCGAGAAACACGATGGTGCCACTGGTTTTCTCTGAAATCATCTCCCAAGCTCAAAAAAAGCTCTCAAAGTGAGGCCAAAATGGAGGGGATATCCCACGCTACCCTGAGAGTCCACCTGTGCATCAAAACAAACTCTCCATGCAAAGATAGGGAGCAAATACATTGACAGGGTTGCCACTTTATTTTGGGACTCAAAAACACGGCAACTCTGCTAGTGTATTTGCTCCCTATCTTTGCATGGAGAGTTTGTTTTGATGTAGAGGTGGACTCTCAGGGTAGGGCGGGATATCCCCTCCATTTTGGCCTCACTTTGAGAGCTTTTTTTTGAGCTTGGGAGTTGATTTCAGAGAAAACCAGTGGTACCATCGTGTTTCTCGCGAGCTTTTACATGAGAAACTACAGTCAAATCGCAAATCCCTCTCACATGCAACATCTCCATTCCTTCCTCCCACGCTGCCTTTCACAAATTTCCATTAATCATCACCCTTTTGGTCCATTTACAGTGTTACACGCACAACAATCTGGGTTGGAAAATCCACGTACTGGACTCCGAGGAGGAGCTACGACTGGTCAAGGCAGGTAGCATCAGCAAAGGTGGAGCCTCCATCACCTACGCCTCCACTCTTCTCCTCACCGTAGCCCTTTCTTTCATTCTACACTCGATTTGTAATTTCGTTTCTGTCACCAGATAAGACTCACATCTACAACGCCGCTAATATGTTCGCGAAAAAAATGTCAGCAGTTATTCAGCAACGTCGGGTTTACTATTCTGCCGTGCTTAGGAAAAACGCCGTAAAAACATTCGAGAGTTGCCAAATTCCTTCCCTACACTGGAAAAAAAACACATTGGATCTAGAGTCCAGACTCTTGAAAACATTGACAAGGAAAAGGACTCTTGATTCGATCAGATTTAAGCTTAAATCAAAAGGAAATCCGCTCAAATTAAGAGGCATGGTTCTTGATTTAAGCTTAAATCTGATTGAATCAAGAGTATTTTTTCTTGTCGATGTTTTAAGAGTCTGGACTCAAGATCCAGTGTGTTTTTTTCCAGTTTAAAATTTCTATTTTTGCGGAAAGTTATGCATATTTTTCCTTCGAATTTCTTGATGTTTTAGATTAAATTGTGAACGAAATTGCTTGAAAATTGGAGGAATATTATTCAAATTTTTTCCCGAAAATTATTTTTTTGGAGGCAATATGGTAACACCTGAAGGCTTTTACGGCGTTCTTCCTTAGGACGGCAGTATTCAGATTCATGGATTGATCAGATCGCTAAATTGTTCGATGTCCTTAGTCAGGTTCTGAGACTCTGTCCCGTGTTCGTCAAAAACTCAGCCACGCTTTGGTTATAGAGACGTACAATTGGACTGCATTTTGCAATTTAGAACTCTAAATACTGGCTCATCCGAGAAAACACTTATGTGCATAGGGAAACTAATGGCACATACGTTGTTTTTAAATCGGGCTAGAATTTGTAGTTCCAAAATGCAAAATGTAGTCCAATTAGTCTTCAATTTTTGTGAGCTAAGGTCTATTTGGTCATACGCAGTCACAGATATCTATTTTTTTCTCATTGATAGCATTGAGAGATATTACATCCCTGCATATTTTTGGGTAAAATTCGGTTTAGCAAAGATTACTTTTGGTGATGTCAAAAATACTGCCGTGCTGAGCAAGAACGCCGTATGGGCCATCAGGCGTTGCCAGATTTCCTTCGATAAATCGCGAATTTTCAGGAGAATTTGTGAATATTTCTTCGCCGATTTTCCAGAGGATTTCGTTCGTAATATGATCTAAAAAGACTGAAAATTTTAAGGAAAAATATTCATAACTTTTTTCTAAAGTTAATATTTTTAAGAGGAAATTTGGCAACATTCGAATGCTCATACGGCATTTTTCCTTAGCACGGCAGGACAGTAGCGTCTACTTTTGACTTTTCTGCTCGACTTTATCCAAAGATGAAAAAATTAGTTTTTTGAAAATTATGATCACTACCCCTAGCGACGCGACACCTTCCTAGCAACCAACCAATTAAAATTACATGAGTTGACATACATTGTAAAATCGTACGATTGCTGAATATCTGCTGATTCTAATACTTAGAGCGTGTTTTCGGCCCCAATTTGAAAGACTTCGAGGAATCTGACGATTCATACCAAAGCTGCGGCCAACGATTTGCCGAAATTTCAGAATTCACTCGATCATAGTTTGTTCTGAACTCACGCGATTATACTCAACGCAAGTTTTTTTTCGTCGGTTTTAGAGGTGAATTTTCGCGATCGAATGTGATACGTTTTCGTCTCATATTCAAAAGTTATTCAATTTTCACGTCATATTCTACTTACTTGAAAATTTTGAATTAACCCGTACTGCCTGCAAAGGGCGAACGCCGTATGAGCCGTCAGGCGTTGCCAAATTTTCTTTGATAAATTGCGAATTCTCGGGAAATATTTATAAATATTTTCCTTCCAATTTTTCGGATAATTTTGTCCACAATTCAATCTAAAGTTCCTGAAAACTTCAAGGAAAAATTCAAATTTCAACATAACTTTCCTCAAAAATAAACATTTTATCGAAGGCAATTTGGCAACACTTAAATGTTCACACGGCAGCATAGGGACGAATTCAAGCATAAATCTATGGAACTGGTGGCAATGACACTGTCATCAGCTCTCTTCGAACTCCTAGAAATCATATTTTCTTCAAGATCAATGTCCAATTTTCTTGAATGAAGTTTTTATGGTTGAATTAAGTACTTAGTGCGTTTAAATATTGCAGGCAGTCAATAATCGACAGCAATTCTGCCGTGCTAAGGAAAAGCGCCGTATGAACGTTCGAGAGTTGCCAAAGTTCCCTTGATAAGTCATGTATTTTTGACGATATTTATGCACATTTTTTTTTAAAAATTTTCTGATGTTTTAGATAAAATTGCGTACGAAACAGTCTTAAAATTTTGGGAGGAATTATTCAAAATTTTCCCCGTAAATTCAGTTTTTATCGAAGGAAACTTGGCAACGCCTGAAGGCTCATACGGCGTTCTTTCTTAGCATGGCAGAATTTGCCTGTGGCATGCGTGTTAACTCGTCAAATTGAAGTAATTCGCGCTGACAGGGTAACAGTTTCATTGGCCAAGCACTTCAAACGCATCGACTCGCCTTAAACGCCTTCAAATCTCGGCGATTCTTACCGCTTTACATGACAGTTAGCTTAGTTGCCTATACGAATCAGACTCAACTAAGGTCACTGATTTCGCCACACATACTCGTGACTGTGTTAGCTGGCACTACACATTCCAGCGGAGAAAATTCTCCTTGCATCGCAAACATAAAAATCAGTACTTTTAAACGAGTTCCTTTAGTTCTGAACCATTAAATATTCGTATTCAACACAAATAGATTGGAATTTTCTGACGATTGCTCATTGCCTACGACATTTATGGATGAATAAGAACTCAAGCGACGAAGATGATTTATCCGAGAGTAAGATGGACGCAAAACTCGTTCCCGCCTATTCTCAGCAAACTTAATTTCTATTTTCCTCCTAATTTCGTTGACTTATCCATTCTTGAGCTTAATTGGACGTACTTCTATCAAACGGAACTATGTGCATCAAGAAATGAGCCCTGAGACCCATAAGAATAAATGCATAATAGGGCTCACGTCATAGTGCATATAGTTCCGCTTGAGAGAAATGAATCCAATTGGTTGAAACAAAAATCCACCAAACATCTGTATCACTTAACCTTCACATATTTCAAAAAGCGCATCATATTCGATCGGGAAAATTCACCTCATATTACTGCGAGGTTTATTGTCTCGCAGAACTAAATGCTCAAAACGTCCTAATCGGTCTGGAATACATTACGAAACCGTGAATCAGCGAATTTGAAGTCAATCTGATTGGAATACTAAGCACGCTCCTCCATATCATGTTCCGTTTCCAAACATTCACTAGGGCATTACGTGAAAAGGTTTACATTAGAGGACTACGGTTCCATCCAACTGTAGAGGCTGTAGGCTAATTTGATTACATTTTGCAATAAGGAACCACTATTTCTGGCCCATTTTAGTAATAAACATACATGCCATTGCCCTATGCATTTATGTGATTATATGGGAGAGCCAAAGATAGTGGTTCCTTGTTTCAAAATGTAATCCAATCGTACAGAATCGCGTCGATGCCCATAGAATGTTTGCTAATGGGACAGCAGTGTTGTCAACTCGATTAAAATCCAAATGGTTTCAACTACAGTGATTTTCGGTGTGAACTCTGTTTAAACGTGTAATAGGTAGATTTGCCGTGCTAAGGAAAAATACCTCTAGGCGTTGCCAAATTTCCTTTAATAAAACACGAATTTCCTGGTAAACTTAAGAACAATTTATTTGCAATTTTTCAGATACTTTTATTCGCAATTTCACCTGAAGTTCCTGAAAATTTCAACGAAAAATATTCATAACTTTCCTTAATAATAAACATTTAACCGAAGGAAATTTGGCAACTCCGGCGAAAATAATCATACGGCGTTCTTCCTTAGCACGGCAGAATTATATGCACGTGAGAGGGAAAAATTGTGAATTGCGAATTTTTGGAAAAAATTCTTAAAATTCTCCAAAATGTGCAGAATTTAAAATCCAGCTTGCGCGATTAGACTCAAATGCAAGACGAATCGTTGATTTTGGAGTGTGAACTTAACAATGCGTCACAACTTTGACGGTGGTCATATTACGTTTTTGGCCTCATTGAAAAACATAATTAGCTTATAAACTGATCTTGCACTAACCGGATTGACAACCCTGCAAAAAATAATCAGAAATGAAACTACAAAATCCAAAGTAGAATATCACGTTCAAACATATCAACTTAGGAATTAGTTTGTACATAATAATTTTAAATCCTTGATTCTTCTGTTGTTTTTTAAACAATTATCGCTATCAGCAACTGAGCGGCGTACCTAAATTGAAGCATCAGGCTCGAGATACAGGAAGATTACTGGATATAAAAGTCGCCAAAAAAAGGGACAATAAAATCATATTACCATGTCTGAAATGTAAGGGGATGCTGAAGATGATTTTATAGTGGACGACAAATACGTATAAAGACCACCTTTATTCAATCAGTTAATTATGTAATCAGCATAATATTCCGAACACGGAAAAAATTAAATTGCTGATTTGACAATTAAATTGCTAAAAAAAAAGTGACTGCAATGTTTCAACGTAGATTTTACAACAAAAAAATGCTACTTTAACCACCTTCGTGGTTAAATTAACTTACAATAGCGGTTAAAGTTGCATTTGCAAAAAAATGCTACTTTAACCACCTTCGTGGTTAAATTAACTTACAATAGCGGTTAAAGTTGCATTTTTTTGTAAAATCTACGTTGAAAAATTTCAGTCTTTTTTTTTAGCAATTTAATTTTTTCCATGAAGCAGATAGATGAAGAGCCAAGACCGAGAGCTCTCATTTTCTCACTCTTCTCGAATTTTTTATCATGAGAATTGAGAGTGGGAAATCATAAGTATGAATATCGATGGCTGAACTCGAAAAACATGAATTTCGGTTTTTGACGTTTCATATTCCCCCATATGTACTCTACGTTCTACTTCAGAGACTAATACTCTGAAAGGTAAATGTAATTTCTTCCGAAGTCTCCTTTTTCTGCTCAGTTTAAAGATCAGTTTGTGAATATTTCAACAAATAAAAATGGCTCGTTTCTCTTTGAGAAACTAGGAGTAAAAAGGAAAAACGCCGAAATCGGAACAAGTGGATCCTGGATTGCGAGTTACAGTCATCGATAAATAATCAAATCTCCGGCGA